AGGCTCTGCACAGATTTAACAACATTTAGCTTTTAGTTGTCACAATTTTAGCATAAGAGTAGCAACAAGTTGTTTAAATCCCAAAGTAAAACACATGATCAATGTAAGCATGACTAATGATTAGCATAAATAGATAATTCTTAGTGATCATCTATTCTGTAAATGTTCCAAGGTCGCTCGTGACTATGAGCACGGCTGATATACTAGTTTTACACTCTACAGAGGTTGTACACTTTCACTGTGAGTCGTGATACCCATATGCCCAGGTTAATTACTCCCAAAACACTTCCAAGGTGAGTAGGCAGGGGTCACTATGAAGCATTTCAAAGGTTCATCTAATAAGTTTGGGCCGCTAGGTTTCTGTGCCCTGTGAATGTAGGGCTCCTATTCCGACAGGCACAATAACACGCAGCCTATACATTGACGAACAGAGGCCGCACTATATCCAACCCAAAACACACCCCTCTTGCGCCATAAAGGTAACCTCTAACAAGCAAGAAAAAGGTCCTTGTACTGAGCTAAAGCCTGAGTCATGTGGTCCTCACAGCTGTACTGTAAGTTTTGGATGATCACTTACAGATAAGTACTTAGGGAGAAGAATCTAGAGCATTTAGAAAGTAGCTAAACACTCTAGCCCCCTGTTTTCATGTTGCTAAAAAGTCATGTTTTAATGTTTATAGAATATACCATTAGTCAAGTTACAAGATCATAGTTTAGTTGAGCACTAGCAAAGCTACCCAATGCATGTCCCATATGAGACAAGGTATAAGTTCAATTTCTAGGGAATCCCTATCAAGGTGACACATGCAATCATGAATTAAATGTATTAAAGTTGATAGGAAATAAGGATGATCCCATGTTATACTTGTCTTGAACAAAGTGCTCCTACTGATTCTGCTAGTCAAAGTAGTACTCTTGATCACCCACGAATTGCTCACCATCTATACTCGATAATCATAGCAACATACAAGCATCCAGAAGCAATCATGCATAGCAAACAAAAGCTATAAATTAGAACAGTACACCAACAGCATAAAATCAAGATGAAAAGTTTGTAAAACGAATCTAAGATCACAAAAATCGAAGCTAAAACAAAGAAGTTATGAATTAAACAAGATTTCCTTTATTAAAATAATAGATTATATCTAACATTGAATTTTAAAAGTTGAAAACATGCTTAATAGTATTAAGAACATGTAGATTATAGAATTATGAATCTAACGTAACTTGAACGGATCAAATCGGAGTTGAAACAAAGATTTTAGGGCTAAAACATGATTAGTGGCAAAACTATAAATAGTTGAAACTCGATTTTAGAATTTAAATTAATAAAATTAGATTTTAAACCAAACTAGGGACTGCGGGCATGAAAACGAAGAAATACAGGGGTTCTTTAGAATAAATGCAAGGACGGCAGGTGGAGATCCAAATAATTATAAAGACCTTTTTGCAAAACGACAGACGAAGGGGTATGTTCTAATCTTGGTCCTTGATTTTGGATCGAACGGTTGGAAATAAACCAGAGAGAGCGGACGACGAGGCAGGCGGCGAGCTCTGACGGTGGTGCCATGGCCGGAGGCGGGCAGTGCACATGGGATATGACCTATGGACCACGGGGAAACAAACCGAAGGCACCGAGAGAAAGAGGAGGGCAAAGTGAACTCGCCTAAGTAGCTTACCGTGGCGTGAAGAGAACGGAAGCGGCGTGGTGCTCGACGAGGCGGGCGGTGATGGTGGCGGTGCTAAGGTTGTGGTGACTGGCACAATGCGAGGGCGGCGGCTGACGCTTTAAGGCTAGATGAGGGCGGCGCAACGCAAGGGGCGCTATTTATGCGGCGAGAACAACTTGGAACGCAAGGCAAGGGAGAAGACATGGGGTCACGGAGTCAGCGGCGGCGGCAGTGTTCGTGCCGGACATGAGCTGTAGGAAGGGGATGACCCTGACACATGGGCCCAGCGTGTCAGTGAGACAGGCGAGAGAGGAGAGGGCGTGGCTTGCGTTGGGCTGGGCCATGGGGCGCGGGAACGGAAGCCGGGCCTACAGGGCAACCAGGCTGAGCTGTGAGGGAAAGAGGCGGAAGACTGGACCGCCTGCTGAGCTACGGGTGGGTGAGGCCGAGCGGCTGAGCCAACAGGCCGAAAAGAGAAGGGGAGGGAGAAAAATCCTTTCTCTTTTTCTTTTCTAATTTTTCAAACCAATTTTGAAATTTGATTTCAAACCACACAATTTAAAAATAATATACAGCAGCATGAATGCATAGACATGTATGTAGACCTATATTTGATTTTAATTTTAACAAAGTTATTATTTTTCTAAATTTCAATGCTCATAAAATACATAATTAAATCATTTTCTTCTATTTTAAAACCATTTTTAGGATGTTACGTGGAGCTAAATAGCTTTGCTCTCTAGCTTGTGTAGCTTGAGTAGTGTTAGTGTAGTACTATTGTAGCTCCTGTATAGTGCTTGTTTGCTCACTAGTACGTGTAGGAGCTCTCTTATACTCACTTGATTAGTTGCATAGGTTTGTGTGACCTTGCTAACTAGACTTGATTAGGTGAGCTTTCTCTAACTTGGCACCTCAAACATAACTTGTATTGAATCTTTTGTAAGGCGCATGTGTTAGGTAAAGGGTGTTGTCTTGGTTGGACCAAGCAATTTAATTCCTCATTTATTTTGATTAGTCGTAGCTATTAAATTTAAAAAAGACTATTTACCCCTCTAGTCAGCTCCTTGTTCCTAACATCCCAGTAGCCAAAATTAGGTCTAGTGCATCAAATAGGAGGACTAATAGGTGGAGCTAATTTTTAGTCAAATCTTTAACTAGTTGTTATTCACCTAGTTAGCTAAGTATAACTAATTTTGGCTAATTTATAACTTCAACCAGCAAGTAGCCATGTGTACCAAACATGTCTTTAGAACCTGTTTGAGATCAGAGCAAATTGCTACTCCCTTCGTCCCAAAATATAATATGTTTTGACATCTCTAAATTCATAACATTTACTGTAAATTTAGACATAACATATACCTAGATACGTAGCAAAGTTTACGAATCTAGAAAGCCAAAACGTCTTATAATTTAGAACTAACTAAAAATTGGCTAAAATTAGTAGTGCATCCAGATCTAATAAATGGACTAATTTTTAGCTATCCTTTCAACTAGTTGATAGCCAACTAACTAGCTAATCTTAGCTAATTTAAATTAATTTTTAGCCCAACTAACGACTAGCCTTCTCTCGTTCAAACATGCCCAGTCCTTATATTTTTTCTAAACCGAGTGAGCCTAGCAGAAATCGGTTAAAATAGTACGCAGCAGCCAATTGCACTCGATCAAGAGAAGCGACGACTCCATCTCTGGTCTCCCACGCCTATAATTCCATTCCCCTCCTTCAGAGCCTTGCGGCGATCGAGATTCTTCCCCTCCTTCTCCAGGTATATCCATCAGGTATATCCATCAGAGCAGCACAGACAACAATTCTCCAGGTAATCTGCGATTTCTTTCACATCTCTCTTGATTCATTGGAATCTACTTCTTGCTCGTCGGGTTCATGATGCAGTGCGATCTGACATGCTTCAGTTTGGCTAGCTGCTTAATTGTGAGGTTTACTTGGGTGCAAGGGATGCAAGAATTCATCTGGTTCGTGCCTGAGAACGATAGTCAATAGTTTGATTTTTCTAGGATTGGGGTTGACTTTTAGGAAAAGGGAGAAAGAACTGATGATCGAAACCTTTTCGCTGAAACTTAACTGTTTCTTTTCTACCTTCATAGAATCTTGAAATTCTGAGAGGGCCCGCTTAGTATGGAGGATTAGTTGATTGGTCTCTTAGTTTCTGAATGCACAGGACATAGGTCCAATTCTGTAAAATCTACATTCAAAACTTCGAATTAGTAGTTTCCATAACTCCTACCTGAATTTTATCGAACAGCTGTCTATCTCACTCTACATTGATCTTTGATATACTTACCATTTCGCCGAAAGAACTCAAATCTTTTATGCTAACATCTGAAGGGGGAATGCAAACAGCTTGACTTTTGGGGGAAAGAATAGACGAGCAGATCTGTCTTTTTTATTTACCACAATGATTGAGTGGTTCCTGCTTGGATTGGAATAGCTAGACTTGGATATACATCGACAATCATAATAATATGCTTACTTGAAAGTATGTTCTAACAGTTTAACAGTATTACTAGTCATTTGTATTCATGCTATTTGTGCTGAAACAATCCTTCTTTGAACTTGTTTTGGTAATGTCAGTATTGAATGCAATGGTGTCATATTGGACATGTGCAAATCTAGCTAGATGTCAAAGTGATAACAGCTACTCTCGAGAATATGATTCAGTCTATCTGCAATCTCAAATTAGTACCTCCTCCCTTCCAAATTATAGGTCACTTAAGCTTTGTCGTTAGTCAAACTAATCTAACTTTGACCAAGTTTTTTGAAAAAAGATGTTAACATTAACAAGTTCAAATAAATGCAACAATCAAGATATATTTCATGGAGAATTTAGTGAAATTAATTTGATGTGGTTGATGTTGGTGTATTTTTCTATAAACTTGGTCAAAGATAAAAGAAGTTTGACAGAGGGGGGAGTATTGAGCTGTTTTTTGTTTTTTGCTTACAGTGATCGCTTCTTATTAATTAATGAATTTAGCCAATGGCCGAAAATTCCTTTAACATATTTCTTCCGTGACTCATGTGATCCATGTGACACTTTGAACAACCATAAATATTGACTGTCCCTGCTTCTTTGCAAAAGAGAAAAGTTTGGAAAGGAAGAGAGATGGTCATTGACCTCCTAATATGTTTGAACTCTAGTTCAGCATTCCTTATACTTTGATGGAGTTTGTGGAAGTCGTTCATATAAATTTGTTCAGACTTTGTGATAATCATACCAAGAAATTCATTTGAAACTTCAAACCGACAGTGGCTGTGCCACAAAGTCATTTCTGACCATGTTCATCATTCTTTCGATCACTATATACTCTTTCTCAGATATGGCAAGCAAAAGGATTCAGAAGGAACTCATGGATCTGCAAAAGGACCCACCGACATCGTGCAGTGCAGGGCCGGCTGGAGAGGATCTATTCCACTGGCAGGCCACAATCATGGGTCCTAGCGACAGCCCCTATGCAGGAGGGGTTTTCTTTGTTAATATCCATTTTCCTCCTGACTATCCCTTTAAGCCTCCAAAAGTGAACTTCCAAACAAAAGTGAGCTGGTCTTATTAATATGATTTCCCTCTCCTTTTGATATTCCTTTATTCTGCACAAGTATTCGAACCTCTATTCTTTAGCCAATCGTCATGGTTGCGCATGACCTTGTTATTAACATACTAGGTAATACGTGTGGTCTGAAATTCATGATGAAAAGGCCCCATTCCAAAATCATGTCAAAACAAAATTGTGAAAACTCTTTCTCTGTTGTGCAAAATAAAACATGCTCAGTTCTTCTCTACATCACCATTTTATTTTCAAAACTTTGGTTTTTCTTCCTAATGTGAAGTAAATAGTTAAGATTATGCTGAATCCTTAAGTACTTGTTCTTCGTAATAAACACATTTTACTTGCTTCAGCAGTTTAGTAGAGTTATTTTTCTTCCTGAAATTTGGTACTAGTGACGCTTGAAACGCAATGGATAAGTTGTCATGTGGCAGAGCTCAAATATGAGTACTTCCTAGCATCCTGAATTTCAGATATGAAAGTGACAGTCTGCAGCAATTGTTCACTGGCCTTGCTATATGCAACTGAAATCATGTTGATTCCCTTGAGTTTCCTCCTAAAGTTTTGTAGGCTAGAGTACAACAGGTTTCACAAAAATAGGTACTAACAGTTTGTAGTAGTATTTCTGATATATCAGGCTGAATGGTTGTAGTCTCATGCTATCAAAATAGCATGGAAATTTTTCTCTTAGTTATTAATCTAAAGAATCCATCATTCAAGTATATCACCTTGATCGATACTATAAACTTGCATACTGAAACAATCTGAACTGTTCCACAATTCTGGTTCTGTTTAAAGCTATTTATCCTTCTTGCAACTAATTCAATTGATTGTTTCACTGAGAAAATACAGGTTTATCACCCAAACATCAACTCTAATGGGAGCATTTGCCTTGATATCCTCAAGGAGCAATGGAGCCCTGCACTGACCATATCAAAGGTCCTCCTCTCCATCGGCTCTCTCCTCACTGACCCCAACCCGGACGACCCCCTTGTCCCTGAGATCGCCCACATGTACAAGAACCAGAGGCAGCGCTATGAGGAAACTGCACGGGCCTGGACCCAGAAGTATGCAATGGGCTGATTCTGTCTCACCGAACAATATTGCCACTGCAAAGGTCATCACGACGTTGTAAGAATTAAGTTGGTTGGTTTCCTGTCATGGGCACTGCAAAGATCATCACACCGTGTTAAGAGCCCAGATGGCTGTGTCAATTATATTAGCTTCTCAGAACAAAGTTTCTCTGTGTGTACAGTACTTTTGAAGCTGGATAAGTCTGAGTTCTTCGCCAAAACCTTCGTTTATACTTTGTTCCCTGAATTGCATTTGTGGCCATGGAATTTGCATGTATAACCTTGCCAAGAAACCACTAGCAGTTTGTATGTTGTGAAGATGTTATAATTCAGATGATGGCTTTGCTTCCCTTCTCCATTAACAGTCCAGTGGTCTTGAATTTGAGACATGTGGGTCTGCACCGTGTGACTCGAACGGAGTGGTCCTGGTTGCCTGCTGACAAATCGGACACACCCAAAATCCAATTTATTCAGTTACATATTGTTGCAATTGCAACCACTACATCCAAATGGCTCTAGTTATTTCCTGAAGAGGCTTGCAGGTCTACTGCCTTGCTGAAACTTTTGCATGTCTCATTGAAACTGTCAGGCAGTGAGGTTAGAATCCAAGGGGGGGCGGGGGGGAGGACAATTCTAGTCTTGTGACTAATCACTAGTTATAGGCATAATCTTCTTTCTATATAACACAGCTATACAATTCTAGTGATTCTAGTGGAGGAGTTTGTAAGCTAAATTAAATATATTAATAGACAAATTAATGCATATGCAGTCTACTATATGTTACCTGATGAGTGTAAGCTGTTGCAAGATGAACTCCTGCTAATTGTCATTTGTCCTTCTTAAGTAGAACAAGAGAGCTAAATAGACGTACTAAAGTAACATACTAATATAAGTGAAATATTATAATGCAGTTGCATGCAAACAAGGGAAACAACAGCAGTACTCATTTGAAACGGCCAGATGAGCTAAACACAAATGCTAATTAAGTTTTGTAATAATGCGTTGAAATATACTCCTAGCATCATTAGGATGGAAGCAGCTAGAATAAAAAAGAAGCTAATGCAAGTTTAGTCGTGGCGTAGATGAATGCATGTAGCTAGGCCATGCAATGATGCAGATGTGTGTGCGTAGTTGTAACTTTCAAGTGTACATGCATGACATAGGCTCTCTTTGCAAATCTATCCCGAGCAAGGGGGGCGGGTAGCTCCGCCAGTGCTGTCAGGTACATCAATGTTGGTTGAACGTGACCATACTTGTTCTGCAACGCTGCTGCTTTCTGGTGTTTACCTTCTCCCAGCTTTCATCTGCACTAGCAGTAGAAAGTCATAGACTGCTCTTTCTTCTTCGAGATGGACAGAAGAGGTTGCGTCTGTCTGTATCAGGTCACTTGTGGTATTTATAGCTGTTTTTTTTTCCCGATCAACTAGTAGGAATGGAATCCCTTACATACAAGATGAGGTTAGTTATATGTTAGACCAGGAGGCAAGACTGCAGGAGCCATGGTTGACAAGGCTGAATTTTGAATTACCCGATGAGAATTTTTCATCAGTACTTTCTCTCTTTTTGCCTGTAAAGACTAGTACAGGTCTTCATTTGGTATACCTGTAGCCAGCTCGCTGGGAAAAGCCTGACACTTGTGTACATACTTGTGAAAGGTTGTACAGGCACCTGTGGCAGTAGTTAGTAGTATCTACAGATAGGGGCTGCCAGAGCAGAACCTACATAGGCAAGATCATGCTCTGAGTCTCTGACAGAGGACAAACAGAAATCCAAAAACAAAAATGAAAAACAAATGTTGCGCACAAGACTATGTAGCAAACATATATACTAGAAAATTACCAAGCATCAGTTAAACAAACAACAGCAGAGAATTGCAATGAGACATGGACATTTGCAGGTAATCTGAAGACCATCATAGAACCTAATTGCATCTGCAGGACGGCACCTCAAAGACCAAGTTACTACTTGAGTTGTATTGTATGCAAGTCTTCATCTTGAGTAAAAAAAAAAACAATGTATGGGCATCCCATCCATGGCACTTGCATTTCTAAGCGTATCTCTACTGCCCAACTACTAAAAGATCCTAAACCCAAAGGAACACGCAAATGGTGTTTGACCTTTTCGCGACACTCACTTTACCCAATCAGCTGGCTGAGTACTATCTGTGTGCCTTTTTGGACGTAAAGGGCGCCCCAAATTGAGATCAGTGTGCAAAGAGCGCCCTTTTATTAGATGCAAAGTGATGGTGACACCAAATCAAAAGAGAGCAAAAACCCTGTGCCGGGATGCCAAAAGCAGTAGCCACCCACGGCATCCGTTCTAGACCGTCCAACGCGTGGATCAACGGTTCAGATCAAATGAGCAATGGAACTTACCGTAACCTATCGGACGTTCCGGACCAATCCGGCTCCGGCACCATAGGACAAGGAGAGATGAGGTGACTGGCTGTCAAGATTTGCTGCTGCTGGTCTCATGGTTCATGTCGTTCTACTCTCCTGAACGTCGAAGAAGGTGACCAAGGCACGGGTCGTCATCGTCGTCTCCAAAGTCTGGATGCTCCTGCCTAAATCACGTCGCACTTATCGGCCATCACACGCTTCTGACTTGATGCTCGACTATTCAACACGAAATGAGATTATGAATGAGATCCTTGACAACCAAAAAGGCGACGCGTGTGTGTGCGCACGTGCGGGCGGCCGCACGCTTGCCGTGCTGTCTTATCCTGGGTTAGCTCAGCTAACAGATACCAAATCCTTTTGAAACTACTGAAAGCGACTCTTGCCCCTCTCTCTGCCCACCTCACCCGCCCAGACAGACATTTATTCATTTTTATCTGAAGAAAGGAAAGGCGTTTGTTTGGTCAGTGAGAAAGTTAGGGTCCTTCCTGAGAATTGAGGTTAAGGAAGCAACCCAAGTATTCAAGTCTGAAAAGATTTAAGTGTCCAGATCAAAATTAAATGGAGATGCAAGCACCACTTTTTCAGTTTTCAGTTTTGACATACACGCATTGGAAGTGTGGATCATGTTTATTCTCTTCAAGGTTCAGCGTCCTGAGATCAGTCAGCTGCTCATTTCTTTCCAAGTGAATGCAACAGTAAGCTGGATGCTGAGACGATTGATAGATCGATTGATTATTATAGAGGCTGAGTACACAGTTCATACACGCAGCCAGAAAGAAGATGCACACAAGCCATGATTGCCTTATCTTCTCGACTTCTCCTGGTGAGGGTGAGGCTGAGTTTGTCTTGTCCACCAGGACGACAGGCAGGTACCATACCTACTACATCCATCACAGACCATGTCAGCAAAAGGAAAAGACGGCCATCCAGTTCAGGTTCAGGGGGATGCACAACTGATGAGAACCCTCGTTCTGTTGCTCAGTTATGTCATCCACACCCAGCAATCATTCGACGAGCAGAGAAGCATAATTTCTTCTCTTTTTTTTTATCTGTACAACTCACTTTTCATGTGCTGTCAACAAAATCTACGGATCAGGTTCTGTCAATGCCCTCAGGCCTCAGCCAACATGCTATGCAAACTGTCAGTGTAACAGTTTTGTCAAACAGAGATAGCTGCGCTCAAGAAATTTACGAAAATGACTCACAAAGAAAACTGTGACTTTTCTAAAAAAGTGTATCAATTGTTGCAAATACTGCATATTACGGTAGGAAAAATTCAGATGTAAGCAACAAAATGGAGTCTGAGCAAAAACATTGATGCCGAAATGCTGGGAATTTGATTGATTTCCAAAATACACGCCGGTCTCTCCAACAGCAACAGGAGAGACCAGCTTTTCTGCAATTGTACCCTACCCATCTTCCCTGTTCGCATGCTTGTGTGCTATTTACAGTGACTGGAATCAAAATCACAACTTTTCCTACTAAATTGGAGGAGGCCACCTTTTTCCTAACAAGGAGGCAAGGATCTAAATAAAATGATTGAGCTAGCTGTTGTATTGTATCCCTCCAGAGAATCAAAATCTGCAAGGATCATCAGAAAAAACATTACGTTGATTTCTCTGCTGATTCATCTATCGTCGATGAGTTGATCGAGAATCCATCGAGGAAGTCACTGTCGGAGTCAAGCTGCAGCTCTTTGAACATTGCCATCACCTGTATCATGGTTGGCCTTTGGTTTGGTCTGTCGTCCAAGCACTCGCGAGCGATCTTCAGATACTGGTAGAGCTCAGCTTCCCCTGACTTTGTGTTTGTCAGAGTAGGATCAAAGATCTCACTGCTTCTGTTTTCCTTCACCATCTGCTTCACCCAACCGACAAGATTGTTGTCTCCAAACTCAGTTGGGTCGATTGGCTTCTTCCCTGACAGAAGCTCCAAGAGCACGACACCGTAGCTGTATACATCACCCTTGGTCGTGCACCGGAAACTCTGGTAGTACTCAGGTGGCACGTACCCAGGCGTACCTGCAAGTGTGCTCACACTCAGATGTGTGTCTAGTGCATTCATCAGCCTCGCCATCCCAAAGTCAGAGACACGGGCATCCAGGTTGCTGTCAAGAAGCACATTGCTTGACTTCATGTCCCTGTGGATGATGTGGGGGATGCAGCTGTGGTGGAGGAAGGCGAGCCCCCTTGCTGAACCGATCGCGATCTTCTTCCTTGCTGCCCAGTCAAGCTTCACACCAGCCTTGGCCTTGTCATGCAGCACCACATCTAGACTGCCATGCTTCATGTACTCGTACACAAGGAGCCGCTCATCGCCAATCTTGCAATATCCGAGCAGCGGTACAAGGTTGCGGTGCTTGATCTTGCCAATGGTCTCCATCTCTGCTGTGAATTCCCTGTCGCCTTGGCCTGTGAAATGGATCAGCTTCTTGATGGCAACGACGGTGCCGTCCTTGAGCTTGGCCTTGTATACCTCACCAAACCCACCTGAGCCTATGAGAGTCTCAGCACTGAAGCCATTGGTCGCCTCCAGGAGATGCGCAAAGGTGAGCTTCCTCAGAGGCTTCTCAAATGTCGCCACATTGATGCTTAGTGGCTCATGAACACCTGAAAGCTTCCAGCTTGACGTGCCAGATGTTGGAAGGCTTTCGATGTACCCAGTTCTCATCTCTTCAGTCTTCTGGTTCTTCCTGAGCTTGCAGAGAGTGACCAGCAGCAACAGCACTATGAGCATGGAGAGCGCGATTCCAACAAGAATGCTTCCCCCAACGGTCTTCCTCCTTCCATTGGATGAAGCTGATGGCACACTTCCCTGCCCTGGATCATGACCACAGGGAGGTAGAGGGATGCCACAGAGGCCAGTATTGTTGGCATACCTGGATTGCGGGAACGTACTGAGCTGGCCAGTCAAAGGAATTGGACCAGACAGGTTGTTGTTGGATACGTCCAAATCAGCAAGGAAACTCAGAGTACCAAGGCCCGGGGGGATGCCACCAGTGAGATGATTGTTTGAGAGGTCAAGCGCGCCGACTAACTTGAGCCCTGAGAATTCATATGGTATTGTACCGCTGAGGTCATTGTGCCCCAGGTTCATGACTTCCAGAAACATCATGTTCCCAAGGCCTGCCGGGATTGTACCGGTGAGGCGGTTGTAGGAGAGGTCGAGGAAGATCATGCTCCCATTGCTGTGAAATTTGTAGTCCATTGTGCCGACGTATATCCTTGTGGATGGGCAAAGGTGCACGGTTGGGAACGCAGCCAGCCTCTCAGGCCGGATGCCAAAGAACTCGAAGAGCACACCAGCACCGGGACAGATGTTGCCGGCCTCGTTCCGCAGAAATGCAAACTGCTTCCCTGACACAATGCCCCCCGGAATAAGCCCTGTCTGGCTAGCCAACTCCGGCGGTATTGTGCCGGTGAAGCTGTTGCTGTTGAGGTCCAGCCAGATGAGGTTGATGCAGCTGCCCAGCTCTGCCGGCACAGGACCAGAGAGCTGGTTTTTGTTGAGCTGCAGAATGGCAAGCTTCTGGAGCTTACCGAAGCCGTGAGGCACAGTCCCTGTGAGGCGGTTGCCGGAGAACGACACCCAGATGAGGTTGACACATCTGGTGATGGAAGGGGGAATGCCTCCAGTGAAGTTGTTGTAGCTCATCACCAGTGTCTCCAGCGTAGTACTGTTGGAGCAAAGCATGTCCGGGATCTCGCCGGACAGGCCATTCGCCCACATGACCAGGTCAATAAGCTTTGGCAGCACCACTATCTCCGTTGGAATCTGACCAACAAGGAAGTTGAAGCTCAGATCAATGGACTCCAGATTGACGCAGTTACCCAGCGACTTCGGCACTGTGCCATTGAGGTAATTGTTGGGGAGGAACAGCTTCCGCAGCGCCGGCAGTGACGAGCAGAGATCTTCCATGATCTCACCCCCAAGCTCATTGGACCCGAGGTCGATCACCTCGAGCAATGGGCAACCCGCCGCCAGCACCGGCAGCGGGTTCTGCCCGGTGATGTTGTTGAACGAAAGCCGCAGCTCACGGAGCGAGGAGATGGTGCTGACGACACTGTCCACAAAGCTCCCCGAGAGCTGGTTGCCACCGAGGTCAAGCACCTCGAGTGACCTGCACTTGGCAAAGCTTGCCGGCAAGCCACCAACCAGCCGGTTGCTTGACAGGTCCAGCTCAACAATTCTGCCGCACAGCTGGCTGAGTTCATCCGGAATGGTACCAGAAAACTCGTTGCCGGCCAATGCCAGCCGCTTCAGCGAGGAGAAGCCAGGCAGGAACGTCGGGATCGGGCCACCGAGGAGCTTGTTCCCGGACATGTCCAGCATCTCGAGGCGGCCGCAGTTAGCGAGGCTCGGCGGCAGCTCGCTGCTGCTCAGGCCGTTGAAGGACCAGTCCAGCACCGTCAGGTTGGCGCAGCCGCCGAAGTCGTACGCCGAGACATCGCCGGAGAAGTTGTTCCCGGCGATGCTGAGGTGCGTCAGGTTCGGTGGCGCCGTGGCCATGAACCCCGCGGGCAGCGCGCCGGACATGCGGTTCCACGACACATCGAGCACGGAGACCGCGCTGCACGGTGCGAGCTCCGGCAGCTGCCCCGCGAACTGGTTGGCGGAGAGGTTGAGGTACCGCAGGCCGTGGCAACCGGCGAAGGAGTAGTTGAGGAGGCCGGCGTCCGCCAGGTGGTTGCGCGACAGGTCGAGCGACCGCAGAGACGGCGCGAACGGGAAGCCGCCGCCGACGAGGGCGTTGCGCGACAGGTTCAAGGACTGCAGCGCGCCGCACGTTGCCAGGAACGCCGCGGGGAGCGTCCCGTTGAAAGCGTTGGACGACATGTCCACCTCCACGAGCGCGCACGGCGAAGGCGACGCCGCGGCGTGCGAGAGGTTGCCGTAGAAGGCATTGCCGCGGAGGTCGAGGCGCTGGAGCGCCGGGAGCGCGAGGAGCGAGTCGAGACGGAGCTCGCCGACGAGCGCCATGCCGCTGAGGTTGACGGCCACGACGCGGCCGTCGGGCGCCGGCGCGCACAAGACGCCAGCCCACGAGCACGGCGCCGCCGCCGTGGCGTTCGCCAGCGCCCAGCCCGAGAGCGCGCCGCGCGGGTCGTTCACCACGGACGCACGCCTGAAGGCAAGCAGCGCTGCCGCCTCGTCCTCTGGACCAGCAATGGCGGGCACCGTCACATGAAGCAGCACCAGCACCAGCACCAACGCCACAAAGAACCACGCGGCCGCTGTCGTGGAGGCGGCCATGGCTCCAATTCGCGGGCTTCGATTTGTCGCAAGGAAGAGGAGAAGCACACAATGGAGAAGAAGGGCCGCCGGTTCTTGCGTCCTGCCGAATTCTTGGACAACTTCACATGACTGTGGAGCGGATGACCTCACTGTAAATTCGCACAGGAAATTCTCGAATCATTTTTAACAAAGAAGCAAAACGATAGAAGAGCACAAGGAATCTTAATTTGGAAGGGAAAGCGCCGTGCCAAGAACAGTCATACAGTTGCAAATGCGAAATTATCGGCACAAACTGCGCACCAAACCCCCGAGGTAGTTTTCCTCCAAAATTCAAAGAAGCCATGATGATGAACTATACCGGGAAGAAAACCAACTCCAATTTGGGACGAAAGAAACGAACCCAATCAGGTTGTACGAATATAAACCAGAGGACCAGAAAGCCACCAAAAAAATCGAGATTAATCAGGTACCCAAATGAACAACCAAACATTTCTTCAACCCAATAACAAACCCGAAACCACTACACTACTGGCACGAAAGCAAATCGAAGAAGAGGCTGCTGCTCACCTTGGCCAAGCGAAGAACCCAGCCCCTCATCAAGAATGAAGAACACCACCAACAGACCAACCAACCTACTACTTCAGCAATTGGAGACGAAGAGGCAGAGGGGAGGAAGAAGAAGGGGCAGAGGAGAGAGAAGCAAAAGTAGAAGAGCACACACAGCGGCACTTGAGAGTATTTAAGTAGGACGAGGGAAAGAGAGAGAAAGGGCGCTACTCAGCTACTGAACCCCGCCATTGGCACTTCGTATTAACAAAACCTCGGCGAGCTTTGTTTGCTTGCGACGGCAATTAGCCCGGGAAAGAGGGGCCGGATTGTTTAATCAAAAAATTAATCCATTTGTCTAGAGGAGGCCGTGTAAGAATAATATTGGCTTGTTGCGAGGGGTAGGAAAAGGCGTTCCTTTCTCAGTTGTGTGTCTCAGCATCCGAGCCCGGTCAAACTTGGGATTTGATTCCCCCGAGCCCGGCTTTTTGGCATCTCCCATCCCATCCCAGCTCTCTCTTACCCAAACAAATTTAAACAAATTTCTCTATAATTTTAGCCTTTTAGGTTTATTACATTTTTTCCACTAAGAATTTGTCTTGGAGAATTATATGTGGATAATTATAGAGTAGTTTGTGATTTTCCTTTGTTGATGTGAAAAAAAGATATTTCATTGTCTTGAGCTCTCTGTTTTTCTAGTAGTAGGAATTCTTCGAGTATCTTATTGTTTCTACGTGCACCTTTGCTTTGATGGTCTTAGCCCGTCACATCTTCGTTTTTGTCACAAAGCGACAAATAAAATGTGAAACGAAATTTTGTAAATTATTATATTCTAGTGAAGCGGCAAAATGCATTGCATACAAGATCATCGAACGGTTCTATCTATACGCCAAAATTGGTTTGTACACGACTCATGCTATCTTCATGTACCATTGCCTTACAAAACCTTAGCCATTGGCTACATTGTCATCTTTTATATAGATAGATGATATGGACGAAGACGCTAGTAGATATTAAGGCCCTAGCTTTTGTTTGTAGAGAACAATAGGATCATTCGTCCAACTGACATCCTCATCACAAATCAACAATGGGTATGTGGAAAAGCACTTTCACATTAGTTTTGTAAGGAGAACCATTGCTACATGAATGGTTTTTCCAAGGGACACTATTTAGATGCCATAGCTTTTACTACTATAGCAGTAGATTCTACAACTTCATAATGGAATCAGTTGGATATGAAGGCATTGGTTGCTGAAGGGTGCTACTCGAGTCTACTATAAATTATAAGTATGTATTGAAGGAGGGGAAATTGTGCTTTTCTCTTCAGTTTCATAATATGATTAGTAAGTATTTGAACCAATGTTTCTATGTGCACCTTTGCTTTAATGGTCCTAGCCTATCACACATTCTTTGTTTTTGTCACAAAGCAATTATGTAGAAGATCATTGAACAATTCTCTCTATGCGCCAAAATTTATTTGGTTCATGACTTGTGCTATCCATGTGTCCCATGGCCTAACAAAACCATAGCCACGAGCTACATTGTTGCCTTTTATAGAGATAGATGATGTGGACGAGGACAGTGCTAGATACTAAGCCCTTGGCTTTTCTAAAGAAAAACAATGAGAACGTTCTCTAATTGAAATCCGCATCACAAATCAACAACGGGTATGTGGAAATGTGCTTTTGTCTTAGCTTTGTAAGAACCACTGCTACATAACGCTCTCTTGGAATGGAGGAAAATTTTCATGTTTCATGTGTTTTCCCTATGAAAATGAGTTTATTCATGTGACATTCTTGTACAATTCATGTGAAACTCATGTGTTCCAAAGGGGCCCTAAATGGTTTTTCTAGGGGGCACTCTGTTTGGATGTCCTAGCCCCTACTAAATGATTACTGTAGTAGATTCCATAACTTCATAATGAAATTTATTGGATATGAAAGGATTGACCATAAAAGGGTTGAAAAGTCTTGTGAGCACCCAAGAGGGTGGTGAATTTGGTGTCTAATAAAAACTTAAAACCTACGGCTCAAATTAAACTACCACTAAAATTCATAAACTACTCTAGCATGATTGGCACTTACGGTTTTTATAGTGTGCTCTTATCTTACCGTTAAACCACAAAAAGCTTAGCAACCTATAGCCAATCCTTACAACTAGTGTGCAGCTAATCTAGGAAATTAAAGGTCACACAAGCGAAGAATGTGTGGAAGCAATAAACATGGTAAGTAAAGAGCTAAGGATAGAGAGGGTAAAGTCCTGCGTCAATATATCCTATAGTATCAGTTGCCAAAGCACAACCCTAGTTGTCGATGTTTGACCACCGATAGCCTACCACGGGGGTCCCCGGGGCAGTTTGTTCAGGCTTCGACATATGCAGAACTCGACGGTGAACGCAAGAGACAGACGATTTATCCTGGTTCGGGCCCTCGATCGATGATCGAGTAATAGCCCTACGTCCAGTCGGCGTTAGCCCTTGCGTTGGATTGATTGTCTGGAGTTGTGTTGTTACAATCGTAAAAGTCGTGATCCTCCCATCTCTAGGAACCCTGCCCTCCTTTATATAGTCAAGAGGTCAGAATCCTAGTCGGTTTACAATGAGAGTTCCTAGTAGGATTACAGAATAATACTACTACTAAGATTATATGGGAAGAATTCTAGTTAGACTAGGTCTTCTCTCTCCCTTGCAGGGTATCCTGTGGGTCCCGCACAGATAAGCACCCGAGCACTTCATGGTTGAGCTCTAGAAGCCTCGTCTTGTTCCTTCTGGTCTTGCCGAGCAGGAACAAGCGTCGTCCGGGTGCTTTCTTGAGCGAAACTGTGTAGCGCTTCATGAGATCTTCGCGTGATGTGTACCTTTTTTAAGAAGAAAAAAAGTACTCCCATTTGGGTGTAGCCCCCGAGCCTCTTGCTTTTTGGCACAAGGAGCTGGAGGGTCTTCTTTTGAATTCACTCTGATTCTTCGTTGAAGGGTTCCTAAGCATATACCCAGGTTCTTTATCAAAAAGAGCTCGGATATAGCTAGGTCCGAGTTCTTTTTGTCGTGAGGTCTTGAAGTGATCTGTCTTGAAGAAGTCTTTTGGTGATGTGCGCTTTTTTGGAGAAAAAAATTGCACTCACTAAGTGTAGCCCTCGAGCCTCTTGCTATTTGGAACAAAGAGTTAGAGGGTCTTGATTCTGAGTTGTTCAAGTTACTGAGAACCTCTTCTGTTGTAACCCCATCTTGAATCTGAGTTGTTCAAATGACTGAAAGCCTTTCCTATTGCAGCCCCTGAGCATATACCCGGGTTCTTTTATTCGAAAAGAACTCGGACACAGGATCTTGGCATGTTCTCTGGTAGTCTGCTATTGTCAGATGTAGTTGTATAATGGTGGTTGAGAGTAAATGATGTTGGTTCACGAGTTGTACAGTGTTGGTATATTCTTCCGAATATGCTCGTTCTTGAGTACTGCTCCTTCACGCCTAAGTCTTCTTTCATTGAATTCCATCTTTTCACTGTGTCCTTTGTTAGGTTTGCTCTGTTGATGCTCCAGGTCCATGTGCACCGCTTCTTTGGTCTATAAATACCCTCCTGGTGTGCTGTTTTGATTCATCGAGTATTTTGTTGCGTGGTCTGATATCTCCGTAGCCATAAATATGATAGTTTGTGAAGTAGAGCAGCCCCCGGGCGTATTCTGTAGTTCTTGTACATCTTGTCGTAGCTGGAGGAAGTCTTGTGACAGGGATTAGAGGTAGACTAATCCCGCAGCGGTATTGTACTTGGAAGTACGTGGCGGTAGTTGGAGGAAGTCTTATGATGTGGGATGCGTTCCTTCATCCAGCAGTTCTAGGTTGATCTTCACCGTCTGTCTTGAGACTGTCCGGTGCAGATCAACACCATATCCGGTATCACATCAGACTTGGGTAGATAGATGCCTGCCGGCTTCCCCTGGTCTATGTTGTTCCGCCGTGCTGCTGATTTCTGCCTTGGATGCACTGCGTTTGTCCTTTGAAGAAAACAGTGTCACCGAGTGCGGCTTGTTCTACTGAGTAGCAATTTGGAACACGTAGTCATTCCAGAGCCTATCTGTATCCAGGTTCCTCTTTGCTACCTTGCTTGTCGTAGTACTGAGTTCGTTGGGTCTTGTAAGATGTGTAATCTTCTATTTTTTGAAGTCATTTGTAATAGAAAGAATCTTGTCTTCTAAGTTGTCATTCTTTATTCTACTGATGTCCCGGTTGTCTATGAGATTCCCGAGTTCTTTCTGTAAGGACCGGGTTGTTATGTTCCTTGTGAGGTAACCTTCCGTTGCTTCATGGCTGATGAGTTCTTTTTGCAGCAATATGGTAACTCTACCGTTTTGCTGGATGGATAAGTTCGAAATCTGCCCATTGAACTGTACCGTTGTGTGGATTTGTGTCTTCCATCATTTTAGCTGTGTCAGTAAATGGATAGTTGCGTTCTCACACCGTGTTTTAATGGGCCCGGTGG